GCAGGATGTCACCCGGTACATGAACCCGTCACCTTCAACGTGTCACCTACAGCAGCGTTTCCCAAGTTTTCAACCTTGTTCAGGACAATGGGGCTGCGGCACTTGCCGGTGGTGAACGCCGTGGGAGAGGTGAGAGTTCCAGGGGGAAGGGAGCACCCACGGCCTGTAGCAGCCTGGCCTCGCCCCACCACCACCACCTTCAGGAAAGGACCCTCCAACCACAGAATCCAGCAGGGAGGTCGCTAGACTAAAACCTCCTCTGAAACTCCCACCAGGAGTGAGGAGTGAGGAGGGAATGGGTGCGTGGAGCCTGGGATAACTTCACACACCTTTCCCCCTTTGCCTTCGGTTTCTTATATGCAATCTCCAGCGTGGCCAGCAGATGTCGCCAGTGGCACTGTGGACTAGAAAAGTTTAGGGCCCCGTCTCTTCACCCAAGACTGGCAGCACCTGGGGGGATGGGGTGAGGTGTCAGTTCCCCAGCTGTTATGGGCACTGTAACGTTAAATGAGAGACTCTCAAGCCAAATACTGGGGAGCGTGTGCCCTGTCTACACAGGTGCACACATTCAGATTGTCACCGGCCGGACTACAGCCCATCGGCCTCCCCTTTAGGAGCCCTAGTTATCTGTGTATCCTGTTCCATAGAGATCAGGTGACCTTTGACGTGGGGGTCATGGTGTCGTGTCTGCGCTGCACCATCCAGGACCCTGTCTGACCTCCACTCCTCCTGACAGACTGGGCCAGCTCCGTCCGCTCGGGTCTTGCCCCACTGCGTTTGACTCAGCAGGTGACTTGGGTCTTTTTCTCCTCATTCTAGATCGTTGGGATCATCACCCGACACAACCTGACGTACGAATTCCTGCAGGCCCGGCTGCGGCAGCACTACCAGACCATCTGAGGCTCGGCCTCATCCACAGGCCAGCGCCCTCCCGGAGCTTTTGGCGGGGCTGCCCCAGGGCACAGCAGAGCCCGTCACCCCTCGCTCGGAAAGCCTGCAGTCATCGAACGCTTGCTGGTCTAGATCCTGGGATGGTTTGGCCCGTCAGAGTTTGGACTTGTCTGACTTTCTCATCAAGTACCTTCCTGTTCCCTGCTCCCCGAGCTCCTTCCATCCAGGTCGGCACAGGCCCCAGCCCCTGCCCCACAAATGCCAGGACCCGAGAGAGGGGTCAGGCTCGCCGCTAGAGAGTGACACCCAGAGCAGGTTCCTGCCCTTCCGCTGCTTTCGTGGGGGACCCAGCTCTGCCGTAAACCATGAGGGAGGGATGTGGCCTCAGCAAACCCCGGGGAAGCGCCAGTTGCAAAGTGAAGTGACTTTACTGGCCCGGGAGCTGGGCACCGAGAGGACGGCCATATTCAGGGAGGCCCTCCTCCGCGGCCCCTCAATCTGCAGCTTCACTGGGGGGATGCGCTGCTGCCGGGGGGAGCTCAGCTCTGGCCCCTGTGGTTTCAGTCTCCTTAGAACCACCACCCCCAAGAAGCACAAAGCATTAACCCCACTAATAATCCCTGAGCAGTGGATCTGACCATGGGGCCAGCTTTCCATCTGCCCTGGTTTTAACATTTCAGCTTTCTCTTCATTTCCCAAGTGACCCACGGTCCCCTGGTGACCCATTTTTACCCCATTCGTTCCTGCTCCTTTTCACCTCCACTGAATCACTAAAATTTCCCCATGTTTGCCTGCATCTTCCTGGCAAAGCCCCGAGGATCTTGATGCCCCCCCCCAAGTTAACCAAGAGCAGGCCCCCAATTTAAGAGCAGGGCCCCTAGATAAACCGCTCGGCTCTGGAGAACGGTACGGTTACTTCCAAATGGGAAAGAGTGAGTCTGAGCCAGCGACCACCACAAGGTACGAGATGCGGCTTGAAAGGCCTGAGTGTGGCGACGAAGTAAATGCGTGTTCGAGGACGCGGGTGTCCGCACCCCACAGACCCCTGTCACCTCCCACTGCCACCCCCCAATCGGCTGAGGGGCTCAGCGATGAAACTCAGGATGCTTCCTGCTGGGACATGCCCGAGGCTATAGCATCAAACCAGGAAGCCTCCTCTGTGCCAGTGACTCAGCTTCTCCAGGCGCTGGTCCTCTGCACAGGCCCCGAGTGGGCCTTTGGGCGTCGGCATTTGCTCTCACTGGCCTCCGCTCTCTACACGATCATCAGCATCCTGGGCCTTCAGGAAACCCCAGGCAGGTGGGCCTTGCACTCGAGGTGGCGTTCATTGGCTTTTCATTCCCTCGTGTTTTAACCTGGGAGTTGCCTGAGGGCGTCCGGGCCTGGCCCTGGCGGCACTTCTCGCCCTCCGCCTCGAGTTGACTTCGATGGGAAGACCCTTTCCAGGGGTGGGTGTCAGCCTTTGCTCTGCCCGCCCAGGTCTTGGCTCAACACACTCCAGTGAACAATCCCACTTAGTGAGGGGCCTTTTCCAGCAGACGGCCCTCCGCCCCATCTTATCTCTTCGACCAAAAGTACTTCGAGGTCTGAGTGTGTCAGCTTCCTGGAGGTACTTGATTTGTGAAACGTGATGAAACCCCCACTGCATCGTTCGGGAAATCACAAGGACCAAAGAGGCCAGCCCTTCTCACCATGGTGTGAGCCAGCCGCCACTTCGCTTTAAAGAGTGTTCAGAGCTTGACCGCCTTCTTTCCTCCTTTCGTGAAGAAGGGGACCAGGAGCATGGTGTGACCCCCTCACGGGAACTGGACCCTCTTCCCAGCCCTCCCTGAAATGGGCCAGGCCGGGTTCTGCAGGGGGTCCGGAGGCCTCTTGTCCTCGGCTGGGTCACCAGGAAATTGCCCCTCGTGCACATCGCATTGCTTTTAAGTCACCAGGCATTTGTTCCCTTCGGTGTGGCCCAGAGGTAGACGACAGAATGCAGATGCCTTCCCCCTGGAGCTGGCTGGACGGCTGCCAGGGAGGCCCGGGCCCCTCGTGAAAGGCGCTTCCTGTCCCCTGTGACGGCCGTCCTCTCCTGGTGCCCAAAGACAGCCAGGCCCACTCGCAGCAGAATCCTGGAAGCCCGCTCCTCGGAAGTCTGCTGGAAACCTCCATCTCCAGTCCTCTCCTGGTGCCAGCAGCCCCGTGCCTCCGGGGATCTGGTCCCTCCATAGAGGACGGCACAGGGCTCGGGCTTGGCTAGTGGTGACTGTTTGGTCTCAGTGTGGTGGTTCGTGGTCCCCGGCTGTGGTCAGGGGAGATGGGGGTAGAGTCCCCACGGCTGGAGGACTTGCACTCTGAGAGGTGATTTGCTCATGACCTTGCTTAACGAGTGGCTCCGGCCGGAATGGACATGGCCTGACCCAGCCGACCACATGGCATGTCCGATGTGAGGTTGCACACCAACACCACCCTGGGTGTCGGGAAAGGCCGGGAGCGGACGGCCCGTGACGTTCGTGTGCGGATTGCACGCCTCCTGCGGGCCTTGGCCGTTGGGACAGCAGCAGCTTCCTTTTTGTGTTTGCACTGGTTGTTTATACGTAACCTTAGCTAATTCCACTGTGTATATAAATTGTATTTTTTTAATTTGTAAAATCCTATTTTTATTTGAACTTTTAGAACTTGGAAGTTCTCATTATAACCTTACCGCGTCGGAATAAAACGTCTCCATCGGTCTCCTTCAGCCTCGTCTCCACGGTGTTCTTTAAAGTGGTGTTTTGTCTTACACCCTCTTACTAACCTGTAAGATGGCAAGCTAGGAAGTAGCTTCATAGTCTCAGCTCTTCCTCAGTTTCCCGCGGGACTCTCCACTCACAGGGTCCACTCGCTGCCTTGGAAACCAGGCGAGCCCTGTGGATCCTGGCAGACACCACGAAGTCACCCCTCCTCCCAGCCTCCCTTCTCACTGACACTGTCAGACCTTATTACTGATGCTCTTCTCTTGTGAACACGGCCTGTCCCTTCCCACAGTGGTCACGGAGAGCTCACAGTGATAGCGGGGAGCCCACAGAGATACTGGGGAGCCCACAGCGGTAGCGAAGAGCCCCCAGCAATAGCGGGGAGCCCACAGAGATAGCGAGGAGCCCACAGAGATAGTGGGGAGCCCACAGAGATACTGGGGAGCCCACAGCGGTAACGGAGAGCCCCCAGCAATAGCGGGGAGCCCACAGTGATAGCGGGGAGCCCACAGCAGTAGCAGAGAGCCCCCAGTGATAGCGGGGAGCCCACAGCGGTCTCGGGGAGCCCATTTATATTCCTGACAGTGTTGTGTTTAGGAATTTTCCCCACAAACAGATTCCCCTGAGAACCAGCCAGAAGAAATGAAGTTGATGCTGAGCCTGTAGAGGTCTGGCCTGTGGCAGCTTCTGCCGGTACCATGTGCCGTTGCTTTGTGTTCACTTCGGGTCTTGCCAGAAACGTGCCTTTTTCTCTAACTGATCTGCTTCGAGCTGCCATTCCAGCAGCGGGAGAATGGTCTCATGCGGTCCCCTTCACCTCCCCCACGTTGCCTGTTTCTGGAGCACTTTCTGTGTATTTGGCACTTTGAGGCGACCCACTGTGTCACGGTGACACCTTGGGAATATGGCCCGCCCACCCTCCCTCCTCCTAGCACCTCCCACTCCCCAGTGCCGGACCTCCAGGGCCAGGTGTGGGCAGACGCTGCTTCCGGTCTCTGCCCTTGTCCTTGTCAGTCTGCTTCTCGGTTGTCTGCCCTCCTGTGCGTGAAATCCACACAAGGGCCGTCTTTAGTGGAAGTGGTGAGGTTAGAGGTCTTTCCTCGTCTCCACTCCCTACATCATTCACTTCTGGCTTCCCCATCCCTGGACAGGGAGCCGGTTGCTACATTATTACCCCTTTTCCCAATTTCCACACAAGACCAAGACAAGTGGACTGATATTTACTGAGCATTGACTGCATGTGCTGCTGGGAGTAAATGCCCGAAAGGGGCGGTTACCCTCAGAGAGCTTGCAACCCAGGGGCAGACACAATCGCTACCAAGACAAACTGTCCTATTATAATAGTTATACAGCCTGGCCAGCATGGCTCAGGGGTTGAGCATCAGCCTATGAATCAGGAGGTCACGGTTCAATTCCCAGTTAGGGCACATGCCTGGGTTGCGGGCTCGATCCCCGGTAGGGGGCGTGCAGAAGGCAGCTGATCAATGATTCTCATCACTGATGTTTCTATCTCTCCCTCTCCCTTCCTCTCTGAAATCAATACAACAATACAAGTGTGTGTGTGTGTGTGTGTGTGTGTGTATAAAATAGTTATACACAAAACACTGCCAGTGAAGTTTAATTTATACTGGGCATGTGGTATCAGGGAAGGCTTCAGGGAGGAGGTGACATTTGCGATGAGCCTTGAGGAAGACTGAGTAGATGTTCCCTGGATAAAGGGTGTTCTGGGTGGAAGGAACAGCATGTATCAGGGCCCAGAGAAGCTGTCGTGTAGGTGTAGGAGGAGTGTCGCAGAAGCTGATCCAGAGAGAGAGGCGCAGGGAGGTGATGGTGGGAAATGGGTGTGAGAGCTACTCCCTGTTGCAGGCGAGCTTAGTGGCTGGTGGTTTCTGCTTAGAACACCTTTTCAGATGCAAATACAACGGAACTGTCTTCTCCAGGGGCTCCCACCTCATGAAGTCTACACGTCCAGGCATCTTGGGCCTGAATTAGTGAAAGGCAATGGCTATTTTTTAAACACATGTTCGCACCCAAAAGGTGCATGAGCTTGCTGTTTGTCAGCATAGCAAACATTTCTTTCTTCACTTTGCTCAGCTTTTAAACCCATTCTTTGCCTGCTCTTCTTAAAACAGTAAGTGCAACCCACTCATGGCAGCAGCTGTCTCAAATGGGTCAGAAAATGTAGTGCCCTCCTCCTATGAATGTGCCTTTGCTAAAAAGCTGTAACCAAACAGTACTAGGGGTGCAAAACGTCTATTGCATACAAGCTACATTGGGTGTAACCGGAGAAAGGAAAGCGTGGATGCTTAAGTTTTCTTTTTCATAGAAAAGGATCCTGAATAAGAGCAAATCTGAAACATAAATGCCCTGTCAGTCTCTTGGGGGCTTTTTCAGTATCTGTGATGAGGCTGGAGTGAGAGAGCAGGTTCAGAACTGCAGCTTAAATCCAACCTCCCCACCCCAAAAAATAATAGAGGGAAGGAAGGAAGGAAGGAAGGAAGGAAGGAAGGAAGGAAGGAAGGAAGGAAGGAAGGAAGGAAGGAAGGAAGGAAGGAAGACATAATTGGTCCAAATCCACTGAATGTACACCACCAAGAATGAACTCTGTGTAAACTATGGAATTTGGGTGACAATGACGTGTCAGTGCAGGTTCATCAGCTAACGAATGTATCCCCCAGTGGGGGGTGTTGATGACGGGGAAGGCGAAGCATGTGAGAGCAAGGGGTCCCTGGGAAATATGTCCTTTCTGCTCAATTTCGCTGTGAACCTAAAATTGCTCTAGAAACAAAGTTTATTCATTATTTTTAAAAGGAGGGAGGAAGGCATTGAGCATTCTTCATTCTGACAAAAGGTAAAACGATAAGGAATACCAGGCTGCATTCTTTCGCCGCCCGACCCCCAAACAGAAAGAAATCACACCCACACCGCGCTTTCGGCTTCTGTCCGAGGTGCTGAAGTTTATTCATTTTCAAGCACGGGGTGGGAGAGGCGGGGAAGCCACAGGTAAGCCATCTTATCTACATTTAGCATCAAATGTGAGACATGTCGACAGGCAGCTTGATCAGGGTGCTCGTCACAACTCCACTTGCCGGCAATGAGATGGGACCAAGAGGCGTGGAAGACCCGGGGTGAGGGTCTGTCGGTCCGCGGGCCCGGCCACTATCTTCGGTACTACAACGAAAACACAGGCCTGTTTAGCGTGGCGGCCTGGCTCCACTGGAAAAGCCGGCTTCATGGGACTGTGCTCGCCTCCCACCAGCCCCCAGTCAGCCTGATGATGACCCTCTGAGTTGCACGAACCGATAAACAAGTTGCTCGCTAGATGCTCAGAAGGTCAATCAATTTCAATTGACCTTTGGGATCTGACGGTTCCGGGGAGGAACATCGCCTGCCAACCAGCAGTATGATAGCGACTTGGCAGTAACGTTTTTTCTCAGCAAACTGTAGCTGAGGATGATGCCACGGTCCCTAGATTCATGGGACAGGCCCCCCGTTGGGGCAGACATTTCCAAGGGAGTAGTGACCATGCTGGTCCCTCTCCTACGGAAAGCATCCCCGTGGTGGTGGCTTCTAAGACAAGGCGCGAGACTCCACGGAACCACACCTTCCTTCCTCCCCACCCCGTTCCCATCCCCAGTTCCTCTTACCCGGAAGCTGTTGCAGCCCAGGCCGCTCTGGGCTCCGATCCTGTCCATCCTGCCCCCGAAGCAGCTGGACCTCCGCAGGCTGCGAGGGGCAGCGAGCAGCACCCTCAGCTTGTTTTTCAGGAGGGCGGACCTGTCGGAGGAGTCCCAGGGGCCCCGCCCAAGGGCACCCCCGTCTCGCGGGGCTGGGTTGACCTCCCCCGTCCAGGGAGACATCTCAGGGAGGGGGCTGAGCGCTGCCCCAGCTTCCTCGTTCTGCTCACTTAGTACTTGCGGGGGCATGACCTCATCTTCTAGCGGCATCTTGTCCTCCAAATGGTCCAGCAAATTCTTTACGAGGGGAAAACACAGGGAACGGATGAGGTCTCGCTGACCAGCAGAGTCTCCCCAAGCCCCCCGGCCCCAGGCCAAGCCCCTACCTTGAAATCCATCAGGTCGGCGTTGGCCACGGAGCTGTACACGGGGTTGGCTCTGGTCTGCCCTGGGAGCTGGACCGCCAGGAGGAGGAGGAAGCTGGCGGTGATGGTGGAGAAGGAGCCCATGCTGGCGGCGGTCAGGGAGCGGTCTGCTGCTGGATGCCTTCTCTCTCTCCTCTCCGGTTCCCCTCTACTGACCTTCGCTCAGCTCCGTCTCCCGGCTGCTCTGCGCCTCCTCTTTTTATAGCCCCCCCGGCTCTCCGAGAGCGCCAGGGGGACAGAACCCTCCCCATTCTGTCACTTGCCGCGATAAAGCCGCTGCGTGAGGAGCCAGCAGAAGATGCCCTTTTAAAGTTATCGGCCCAGCCGAGCTCTCCACAGCCCCTCCGCCTTGAGCAGCCCCCGCTACCTCCGGGAACCTCAGCGGCGAGAGCCACATTCTTGTTGATTTGCCTCAAGAGGCTCCCACTTCAAAGGTGTGAGAAGAGCAAAAAAGAGTCCTTGGTTATCTCACAGCCATGCGCTGCCTCTGCCTCGGCTGCTCTCTCCCGGGCAACGGGACCGGTGCCGGGAATCGCCCCATGGTTTGCGGCTCAGCTGTCAGGGCCTCCAAATAAGGGCGGGAGAGGAGGAAGTGGCGGGCGGCCGCTGCGAGGGACAAATTAGTCCAGATGCTCAGCCGGCCTCACTCACACCTGACTCATCAGCGCCCAGGGCAGAGCCTTGCCCTCCATGGGGCTGCCCTCCCTGTTGGCAGCTGCTGTCAGTGGTCAGGGGAAGCGGGGTGAGTTTTCTGAGTCCTAACTCAGCCGGGGACCAAGAGGGTGATGAACGCCCCCAAGAAGTCAGCTTCCCAAATATGAGCACCCAAGAAAAGTTTGGGGGAGCACAAATCATTTCCCCTGCCCGAGCTTCCGCCCCCCAGCACCCCCACGGCCCCTTCAA